TTAGAGGTGATCCTTCTAGCTTTGATCATCTCCTAGTTCTGCTTCTTTCCTTTCTTCGAATCCCTAAAGGATTTCTAGATCGGATTTCCCTTTTCTAGCTATCTGCATCATTGGACTTGCGGGTCGAGATCATAGTGTTGAACGACGATATCACCGAAGAAAGCTTGACCACCTATAAGTTTAACCGGAATATAGTTCGGCCACGGGAAGGGAAACGACCGTTGCTCGTCGGAGATCTGACTGTGATGCTTAAGGACGGGTTCGGAGTAATCGGCAGCGACGTCGTTTTCACTGATAATTCGTTCTGGTTGAAGAACAAGAAGTTCCGATTAGGGGCTTAAGCTATGGAAGAAAGACGAAGAGTTGTGGTGGCGAGAACTGAAGCGTTCGTTTGCAAAGACCAGCGTGGAGAATGTGAGTCAATTCGTTAGATTACTGCTGAGGATCTCGCTCGTCATTGTGAAATCATTTTGCGCATTTCGGTTTTTTGCAGATTATCGGAAACACTACCCTCTGTATCCTGATTCTGAGGTCTGGAGGCTAGACAACATCGTCAAAAACGGCCTTACAGATTCGCGGTTGGGGCAAGCTGGGATCCATACCGTCAAGGACCTTCGACGTTTTCTCTCGATAAATTCAAACGGTTTGCCTCGAGTAAGCTTTCGAACCTGTGATGATGCCAAAGTGCTACAACCAACAACAAGTGTGATGATCTCCTTCTCTTTTGTTTCACAGATACTACATGGAAAGATCTCTAAGAAAAGGTGGAATGCTATTGTATCTCATTCGATGCATTGCGTTTTGGATGAGAAAGAGTGTTACATCTACAACTCGAAAGCTCACGGAGCCTTTCTTCTCTTCAACTCTGTGTATGAGGTCATAAAAGTTTCGTTTGATGGCATCACTGTTCTAAACACCACTGATCTTACTTCCATACAACAGGTTCGTCAATTCATTAATCAGCTATCTATTGCTAAGTATAAATGTTGACTCCCCGGGGTAATTTATTCAGGTGAAAGCTGATGTACGCGACATGTTTTCAGGAAACTCTTGGCATGCTGAAGCGTGAAGCTTATGAAAATGTAGATTGTTTTCTTGTTGCTGCGGACTTTCTAAATTTTTCGCCAAGGTGTTTTCTTGTTGCTGCGGACTTTCTAAATTTTTCGCCAAGGTCCTCACCGAGTCTGCAAGACGCTGAATTAAGTATTCCCGTTCCAGAGCCGCAGGGCATCATCATAGATGAAAGATCTGATTTTATTGAATTATCTGGTTCAGTTGATGTCTATGATCCTGTAGACTCATGCGTTGCATCATCTGCCTCAACAGACTATGATGTTGTAATCAAATACAGAAGAGGGGACGTAAGCAACGATGATTTCATCAGCCATCTTCGTGCTGCCCTCTGCCGGAGAGGGATTTCTGTCCATGAAGACTTTGATGAAGTGGATGGAGCTCCAGAATGTAGGGTTTTTATCTTATTTATAACGAGCAGTTATGTCCCTTCCAACCTCTTAAACATTCTTGAACACCAACAAAGAGAGTCTCAAGTGGTTTATCCCCTGTTTTACGGTATATTGCCATCTGATTTGATCAGTAACAGCAAGAATTATGAGAGATTTTTTCTCCAAGACGAGCCAAAATGGTGGCAGGCTGCTTTGAAGGAAATATCTCAGATGCCTGGCTACATATTGACAGATAAGTACGTGATTCCTAGGTTCCAATTCTAAAATGCCTTTATTGTATGAATTTTGTTTTAGCAAAGGCAATTAGTGATTCCTAATTCTACTAGTGTTACATGTTTTTTCATGAAAGTATTTAGTATTAGACTTAGCAATATCTAATGGCTTTTCACTGCTCTGCAATCATTAAGGTTATATAAATTTGATATTTCATTCTTGACTTTCTCTTGATGATTGTCCTGTCTCCTTTATTCTTACAATCTCGCAGGTCCGAGTCCGAACTTATAGATGAGATTGTCAGAGATACTTCAAAGGTGTTATGTTCCATTGATAAGGAGAATATGATTGGGATGGATATGCAGATAAAGGAGATTTTGTCACTGTTATGCATTGAGTCCCCAGATGTTCGCAGTATAGGTTTATGGGGTACTGTTGGTATAGGAAAAACAGCCATTGCTGAAGAAATCTTTCGCAGAATCTCTGTCCAATATGAGACTTGTGTCTTCCTGAAGGATCTTCATAGAGAAGTAGAGGAAAAAGGGCAAGATGCTGTGAGAGAGGATTTTTTGTCTAAAGCTTTAGAGGTAGAACCACGTGTTATTCGGTTTTCCGACATTAAAGCAAGTTTCTTGAGGAGTAGGCTTCAGAGTAAAAAGGTCCTCGTTATTCTTGACAATGTGAATGATTTCAGAGATGTTGAAACCTTTTTGGGGGAGCTCAAGTATTTTGGTCCAGGAAGCAGAATAATCATAACCACTAGGAACAGACATGTTTTTGTACAATGTAAAATCGATAATGTCTATGAGGTCAAGCCATTAGATTTATCTAATTCTCTACTACTTCTTGAATCTGGGACATTTCAGAGTGTTTTGTCACCCGGGCCTAACAGGGCATTGTCACTTGAGCTGGTCAGATTCTCAAGTGGAAATCCCCGGGTTCTTCAGTTCTTGAGCAAATCTGTTAGAGAATGGAAACGGTTATCACAACAAATTCAGAAACCCTCTCCTCTTTACATTCAAGACATATTGGAAAGGAGCTGTTGTGGGCTTGATGACAACGAGAGGAGTATATTTTTGGACATTGCATGTTTCTTTCGAAAGATGGATAAGGACGACGTTGCAATGTTACTTGATGGTTGTGGTTTCTCTGCACATGTTGGATTTAGAAGCCTTGTTGACAAATCACTGTTAACCATATCACACAACCTGCTGGACATGCTCAAGTTTATCCAGGCAACGGGTCGGGAAATTGTTCGCCAAGAATCACAGTGGCCAGAATATCGTAGTAGGTTGTGGGATCCAGAAGACATCATGGATGTATTCATACATGATAAAGTAAGTCATCAGGACAAGCGCTGGCATCTCTATTGTATACACCGTAAAGTCTATTCCGGCTAAATTAGTTCTGGAAGCTGACATCTTTTCTCTTGATTTTCAGGGAACATCGACTATTGAGGGCATTTTCCTGGACATGTCGAAGCTAAAATTTGATGCAAGTCCCAATATATTTGAGAACATGTGTAACCTTAGATTGTTAAAAATTTATTGCTCGGAAGTGATAGAGAACTGTGGAGTGTCTTTACCTCAAGGTCTTGAATATTTCCCAAGCAAGCTAAGGATTCTCTATTGGGAACGTTATCCTTTAAGCTCCTTGCCGCGGAGTTTTGATCCAAAGAACCTTGTAGAGCTTAACTTGCCACGTAGTTGCGCAAAGAAACTTTGGAAAGGAAAAAAGGCAAGTTTCAAGATTTCTGTAATACTAATTCAATTAAATATGTTAAACCACGAAGTGTTGCTGATGTATATTTATCACTTTTGCAGAATCTGGAAAAGCTTAAAAAGATGAGACTTAGCTACTCCTACCAGTTAACTAAAATCCCAAGACTTTCAAGTGCGCCGAATCTTGAGCATATTGACCTTGAAGGCTGTAACAGTTTAGTGAGTATCAGCCAGTCAATTTCTTCTCTTAAGAGGCTTGTTTTTCTGAATCTGAAGGACTGCTCGAAGCTGGAGATTATTCCATCTACGGTTGATTTAGAAGCTCTTGAGGTTCTGAATCTCTCTGGCTGCACAAAGCTAGAGAATTTTCCGGAAATTTCACCAAATTTGAAAGAATTGTATTTGGGTGGGACTATGATACAAGCAATCCCGTCATCGATTAAGAACTTGGTATTGCTTGAGAAACTGGACCTGGAAAATAGCAGACACCTTGTGAATCTTCCAACGAGCATCTGCAAGTTGAAGAATCTTGAAACACTGAATCTGTCAGGCTGCACAAGCCTGGAGCGGTTTCCAGACTTGTCCAGAAGAATGAAAAGCTTAAAGTCTCTGGATTTAAGCAGGACTGCCATTAGAGAATTACCCTCCTCCATTTCATATCTGACTGCTCTTGAAGAATTGAGATTCGTAGACTGCAGGAACCTCGTAAAATTGCCTGATAACGTGTGGAGCCTAAGATTCAAGGTTGAGTTCCGCCAAATTGACACAGAGAAGTTTTCAAGACTATGGAATAGATTTGGATGGCTAAAAAAAGTTCAGATCTCTTAGTTTCTACTTCTGATCTGTGGAATAGACACAACAAAGAGTGTTTTAAATGTCTCCAATGTAAAGTGAGAAGCTGTGCAGGACGTGTGCTTAAGCAGCAGAACCAGAAGTTGAGTCCTGCCAACATCTGATTCTATATCGGAACGTAGAGAGTCTGATATATTCCTTAAGTCGATATCTGGAACGGTAATCTTCTAAACCATTGTTATTTGTGTTCTTGGGACTACGCGGAGCGATGATTTGAGCTTATTAGAGAATTTGATGATACAGTTTGAAGACGAAAGGTTGGTTTGGTGTGCAAATTGTCTTGTAGGGAAGGATGCTTACTCGTTCGGGTAAGGTAATGATCTAACTTTTGTTTTTTTATCTTTTTGTTTTGCTTCTGTGATTCGTTTCATTATGTCCTCATTGTCACTACTTTGCTTGATTAATCACAAATGTTTTACAAGAAAATAACTTGAATCTTCTATTCCATACCTCACAGGCTCACACTGACATGACCATGTGTTTTTATTCTCTTGTTTCTTCTTTTGCAGGAGCCAACAGAGTTGTTCATCTCTTGCTATCACAATACCCAGCAGTCAGAAGTAATAAGGTAAAACACATGTCTTTCAACCTTAATTATAAAAGTCTAGACTAATTAAGCTTAAACACACACAAAAAATAGATAACTTAAATTTGCCAATTTCAGCATAAGTGAGGGATCTATAATGGGCTTGATCCACGCGCCGTAATGCATCGCATAGTTGGTTGAAAATTCATCACAATAGCTGTCATGGTCCATACAAAAACTACTTGTAATGTATATAACGAGTATTTGGACGGATAAACCGTGTTTAAATAAGAATCCCACATATACACAATGTTACTCATATCCCCTGCAAGCCCATGTGTCATAATGCTTGATTCATTACTGACAAAGATGGACAAACCATCAAATGTTTTCTTCCTTTCCCGAACCGAACGCAACCGATTAAATCTAAACAGGACGAGTCGCGGTCTCTTCTTGGAGAGCACATCTACAAGAAATATGTTTCCGTTGTATTCAGTTATCCACCTAAGAAACGGGCTTAGGTCCGGAAGTGGCACACGAATAGTATCCCATGTACGTGCAAATGGATCAAATACTCCTAACCAATCTCGATCCGGAAACCAAAAGCAACCATCGAGAATACGATTTTCTTTTTTGCGTAATATCTTAAAAGTGTCTGTCTACTGAATTCCTTGGTTACCCATGCAACTGCAAAGAGATACCAAGTGTGGATGAGGAACTGATCTGGTGTGAAATTACTAATGCCACACACCACACAACTTTTGTTTGTAGGAGCACAAGAGAAAGCGAATTTGGTTCCAATGGTTCCAATTGCTACCAAACTTGGCAACAATATGTACTCTCGAGTAAATGGATTGAAGAAGAATGATCTCTTGGTACCTTCATGGTAATCGTCAATGAGTTCCCCCAGTGGTTATTCCTAGTAAACAAAATGCCCCAAAACAAAAATTAACAAATATTGTAATTTTTTTTCTTTTAACGCTATCATTTATATTCATGGTTAACTAGTCATGGTTTTCTCGTAAACGTATATGTAACCATACCCATTACTAAATTTTAATTTATCAAACTGAACTGTAACCAAACCATATCACAATTTTACAAATAGCCTAATATTTGGTTGATTCACTTTTACACGAACAAGGTCCGAGACACTCTCGAGTAATCATAAAAAACCGTTTCTTGATTTGCTTGCTCAAATATGAGATTTTTCCAATCGAAACCCAATTTTTTTTATT